CAGGATCACAGGAATTACAAGCAATTATCAACTGAAACTGAAATGGAGGAGCCCCAAAACATGGAAGAGCTGTGTTGGTCCTCTTCAGAACAGTCTTATGCTTCAGAATCAGAGGAATTACAAGCATCTGAAATTGAAATGGAGGAGCCCCGATACATGGTAGAACGATCCTTATCACAAGAATCTAATGTTGCTGGATCAGATGAATTAAAAAAATTAACAACTGAAATTGAAATGGAGGAAATAAAAAAGACGGATAAATCGTAAGTTATTTGGAATAATGCAGAATTATATTTCCTGGTATCTCAAATATCACTAATAGCAAAGAAGATTTACATTTATTCAAGTGCGTGGTTTCGATACATCGAGATATACATCACCAAGAGTGACTGTGGTGAACAATGTCTGAAACAAAACATCGATGTTTTGACAAAAAATTAAATCTGCTAAAATCACCTTTTCCTAGCTCGTTTTCACACAAATATCTAACCTTTCTCATCCCTTAGTTCATTTTCCAATGTTCCCTGATATGCTTTAAAGGGCAACTAGGCCTGTAGATATAAAATTGGAATATTTTTACTTTTTTTAAACTTTTATTTAACATACCTATTTTCCTAAAATGTATGGATAAACTATAAATTTCAACATTAAGCAGTGCAAATTCAGTTCAAAGCATCAATAAAGCGAGTCCCACTTTGGATTTTGAAGATCTGACTCGTTTCAAGAGGAATATCAGCTGAAATGATCCAGGAGGTTTCTTTGGAGATATGTTGGTCTTGATGAAATATCCAAACTTAAATATATTTTGACACCGGTCCATGATCGTTTAATGACCCCTCTGCACTAATTGTTGCACCTCTAACTTTAAAATTGTTTTAGCTTGTCGAAATATCACGGCGTTCAGTTTTTAATTTTAAAAAAAACTTTTCTTCCGACTTCTTCCTGATGAACATTGCGGTGTGCATCGATGTTTACTGCTGGAAACTGCCGATGCATCGATGTACGATTATGGCACATCATGACAACATTAATCACCAGTATTCTAAGTGTAATGCTACAATCCGATGATAAATAATATTAATATATGTCAATGAACTGGTTAATTTTTCATTTGGGTATGAGCTTCATTTAAAGGACCACTTAGAATGAAAATAAAAAATCTGTACTATTTACCAGGAATTCCTTGATTTGTTTCAGTAAGTTAAAGGATGGTGACCATCTTGGAGTTGGAGGTAGAACATCAATAATTAAATACTGGCACCACGGAATCTATGTCAACAAAGAGGACTATGAGATCGTAGATTTCAGTGGTCCACCAAAGAAAAAGAATATTGAAATCCGTAGTTGTAGTCTTGACAACTTCACAAATAATTGGAAGAGGAAACTAGTTCGGTTCAATTATCCAGAAGGTGTGATGGCTTACCCCAAGCAAAAAATTGCGGAAAGAGCTACACAAATGCTGGAAAGTAAGGAGTGGGGAAAATATAATTTAAAAAGGAATAACTGTGAACATTTTGCCTCATGGTGTGTAACAGATTTGAAGATGTCTCCACAAGTTGTTCGGAAGGCATTAAAGAAATCTCTTACTTCATACTTTCTAAAACTCGGACCAGAATTGAGAAGTAATGATGCCAAGGCAGTGAGAAAATTCAAAGAAGAAAGAAGCCCAAACAGTGGAAAAATCCCAAAGAAGAAAGAAATCGTCGACGCCAAGGCAAAATTGCAAAGCCCAAGCCAGTTGAATGAGCCAAAGAAGAAAAGAATTACCCGAGCCGAGGCATTGAAGTATGTAAGCCTCGATGCATTGTAGCTGCTTCATTCCACTCAGGCGTTGTTTCCTAAACTTTGCATTCCCGCTGCGCGGTCACGCAAAGGTTTGGAAACAACACCTTCCAGGGGCAACGGACCATATTTGAAAAGGGGGTGCGTTTTCAAGAAAATATAGGTGGCGTGGGAAAAACTTGCGTGGCTGAAGGCAGCGCACATGGGGTCCAGTATGCTCCCCGGGAAATTTTTTTTCGAAGACATTAATTGGTAAAATTAAATCAGTGTTTCTACGATTTATCAGATTAATATACTACCGGATAGTAGGCCTACCCACCTAAAAATTCTTGTGCTTGTTAAGGGATACTTACATAACAAAACATAGCATAGCAAGTACATAGACAAAACATAGAAAAAAAAATAGAAAAAACATAGACATAGCAAGTACCAATTTACGTTATCAGGTAATATTGAAAAAATCGCAAAGTAATCAATTTTACAGTCTACACGATACAATATTCTAGATTATAGACATGAATATATAGCAATTTTTTACACCATATGTACAGTGATCGCCCATTATTACAAGTGCATGAGTAATGACTTGACAAGATCCACAAAATTCAAATATATTGTAACGGCTATTTCTAAATGATTTATTTGTGTTTATATTACAGGCTACTGGTGATTCAATTAGGTTTTGTAGGTACCAGAACACCCGTTTGCTTTGAAAAATATATATCAGTTTGACCATTTTTTGTATGTGTGATGGATTTTACGATGTAAAGATATAAATGCAGTGTAATATGTGTTATTCTATTTGAAAAAGCTTTAAAATATTAAAAACAAAAGAATATTTTCACACTCTTTAATTTCTTATGCTTAGGTTGGGTCTTGGGCTTCAATTTGACCATGATAAAATTCATGTTTCCTCTTAATAATATTTAAACACAGATATTAATGGATCAGCCTATAGCGTGAGTTTCAGCAGACCAGAAACCCAGAAAATATCTTATTTTGATCATCGGAATAAGAAGGGAGTTTGGGGAAATTATTTGGGGAAAATAAACACAAGGTTCTATTTACCTAGTTCATAGGAAGTGGATAATATAGGCAGAATATGATGATATTTCATTCATTAAGATCCTCAATCAATCTATGACAAAATATTAAGACTTGGACAGAAATTTTACCCTCTGATTCCAAGGTATGATGTTCTACAAGGTGGTTTATAAGGTTTAATTGGAATTTAGGAGTTTGTATAGAAGGACAGTAATAACATGTGAATCCAACCACTTTGAACTCCAAAGAACATAATACTATTAGAATCCACATGGTAAACTCCCACACTTGGCTGATCATAATCATTTTTCATAACATCCTTTATACTCGATATTGAAGGGGGGTTGGAATGTCTGATATGCATGGAATTTTAAGTATTATGTGTATTAACCATAGGTATGTTGGTTTTATGGTTTTGGTAATCCAAAAACAGAAAATTTGGTGAAATACACATTTTCGTTCGGCAGGTTATTGATTTTGCAACATCTATCAACTCAGTTCAGGTATTTCGGTTAAGCCAGTCAATTAATAATTTTGCCAAATGAATCTTGAGTCTCTTATACAGCATATGAAATACCATCTGTAGGTAAGCTAATATAACAGTGTTAAAGAAAAGAGAAACAAACACACCTTTCCTCCGACATTTTGAATTTTGCGGATCTTGTCAAGTTTTTACTCACGCACTTGTAATAAAAGTTGATATGTACATACAGTGTTATACTAGCCTGCTTGTATAGTAGTTAGTGCAACCTACACTCCTACAGTATAAACTCTTCCTAATGATCATGCATGAATCCCCTCATCCCCCCATATATCCCTTGCGTTATTTGTAGAAGCTTCACCTCTATAGTATGGTACTCACGCACTTGTAATAATAGTCAATCACTGTACATACAGTGTTATACTAGCCTGCTTGTATAGTAGTTAGTGCAACCACAGTCCTACAGTATAAACTCTTCCTAATGATCATGCATGAATCCCCTCATCTATCCTTTGCGTTATTTGTAGAAGCTAACCTCTATAAATACATCTTTCAATTCAGTTATTAAAAGTGCATGAATTTACTTAGATTATTAGTTGAGCACTCATAAATACTCTAGAGATATAAAAAGGGAACATTTTTGTACTTATATGAACAATTTAGTGGAAGATACATTCAATGCTTAAAAAATGCTTATAGTAAAGGCAAATCATGAATGAAACTGATTGGTGTAGACCTCACCATATACATGTACATGTAATGTAGTTTTATGAATAAAGTTTGACAATGATAATATAGAGCTGTGCCTAAATAAATTCTAGAAAGATGATTTGGTGTTTTGTGACTTGAACAAAGCTGTTGTAGTGTGGTCAAAATGATAATGATTAAAATGGGAGTGATATACTAAGAAGACCCATAGTCATATTGTTAGCCCTAAATAAGTACAATTATATATGAGCGAACAATGTCTATATCATTTTGGTGTAATGAATTAACAATGACTTAACTTAATGAGTAACTGAGTATGAGTAAATATTGTCATTTTCTGAAGGTATATTGGTACATTCAGTACTGTATTTGGTTTTAGTAACTAGTACATATACCTGGGACATATAATGATGAATATAACTTTTCAACTGGAATATATTGGGTGTCCCAAAAAGTGAGCCATTTTTGACAATTATCTGCAAGATATTAATAAAATTCATTGAAAATTTTATAAAGTATCCCAATGGTATCATTAGCAAGTGATACAAATTTGAAAGAGATTATTTTCAACATTATGTGAGTAATGACAAATTCAAAAATGAATGTAAAAAATCCAATATCTGAGCTGTGCCAACTATCAGGTGATATCACCTGTCAATCAGTTTTAGTCTCAAAAGGCTTGTCTGTGTGTCAGGTCTGTTGATTTGTTTCATCTCTCTTGATATCCTAGATCAGTGACCTCCATTGTAACATCTATTTACTCATACAGAATATTTTTATTTCACTCTCATGTAGAATGCCATCTCAAGCAGTCTAATATGGAGTGATTCCAATTAATTGTTTCTTAGACATGACACTTCATGTTAACATTCTGAATCCATACATTTTCACACACAACCACTATCTCACTCTGATTTTAACCTCTTGTTTTTGGGACACTTCATATACATGTACACTCCAAAAATACTTATTTTTATTTACTTACCGATAAGTTGATTTTCCTTTACGAAGCACCTGAATTCAGTGCCAGGCTCAAGTGTATGCCATCTACGCAAAACCAGTTCATACTGTACAGGAACCTTATCACCATCATTATAGTCCTCACAATGCAAGAATCTAGAATTCCATGGTAAAATTTCAATATTTTATGAATGATTGCAAGTGCATAAACTGTAATTATGACAAATAAAACATAGAGGTCTCTGTCATGACAAGAAAGATGTTTATATTTATAATACTCATCAGTTGAAAGTCTACATGTAGTTAGATGCAATATTTTTTGCATTTCAAATCTCATTAAAAGATGTATAATTGATATGTTTGTCTAGTTAAGAATTAATTGATAATATTTTGGATCTGGGGTACATTTCTTTAAAATGCTACATTGAAGACTTAATAATTATTCCAATAATCTACAAACTTACGGTTGAGTTAGATCCCTAGTGATGAAATCAGAGCTCTTCAAAAGGAGGTAAACATCACTCGGGCAAGTACACTTCAGAGTTCTGTCAAATGAGATCCAAGTTGCATCCTGTAACAATAAGCAAAACTGCAATTACGAGAGTGTAACAAATGTTACAGATCTCAACACCAGCACTGAATCTATGTTGACAGCAAACACAAAACAAGTTCACAGATGGTGGCTATAACAGTTTTTAACCATAAAAAAGGGTAGCTTAGAATTACAAAAATAATTCAAATGAAATCAAGCCCTATTTCTGTAGTTAAATTAGAATTATTTTCATTTGTGAAATCTTTGTGTACCCCTGTCACATATAGTATTAATTTTGTTCTCTCCTACTGTTTCCAAATGGACACAATCCCATTATAACATATGACATACCTTTGGAGCACTCCAATTCAGTTTTGGAAAAACTTTTCCCCCCATGAATTTACTCTTGATGATACTCCTTATTGCTTCTTCAAACTCTGGAAAGGTTGGGGCTTTACACTCAGGTACATCTTTATCCCAGTCTGTCATCTGAAGGTGGAAGACGATATAGTTTTTATATTATGTGGTAGTTCTTTCACATACATGGCAGTGATCATTAAGCCAGTTCCCAGTGAGGAAATGCTGGTCCCCATAGACCCATATGGGGCATTCACAATGGAGTATGGATGGGTCTCCCTCAGATCAATGTCATAGCCAACATCTTTTAAACAAGCCAAGTAAATGTTCCCATACAATCACATTCTATTTTCTGAAAACAGATCATCTATTGAGATATTTGATTAAATATTGAAGTAACTGAAGATTTAAGAAGCAGAAATATCCAAGTTCATATAAGAATTCAAAGGGGGCATTCCAAATTTGAAAAATGTTGCCAGATGATCTTGAAGTTTGAAGGAATTTACCCCATTAGAATGGTAGCACTTTTTTGAAATAGGCATGACATGATGTCATATATGAATAAGCCATATTTTAGAGGAGGGATATTAAAAAACAGAGTGTGGAAACATTCACCTTTAGGACAAGGTCCGTAGCCATGTTTTGCTAAGGGACTTGAAAAAATTCCTTTGGCCCAAAATCAGGAAATAAAAGGGATATTTTTGCAAGTCTGCAAGAAACTTTAAATACCTCATTCTCTGTGTTGTCATTGTCACTATCGTTACCAGGGCAATTGGGTGATGCACCCTCTGGTAGTACCACCCCATCTGCCAGAAGATATTCTAAGAAATCATCAGGGATTGGTAAGATGCGACTACAATGACAAAAAGAAAATGATCATGTTACATTTGAAGATTATACCATCCATTTATCTGGATGAATCAGTGAATCAAATATAGAATAAGAAAAATAAAATTACATGTATATATTTTCATAATAGGTTCTAGGCCAATATAAAGATGTCAGCACCAACAGAATCCAGTATTAAGAGAATATTTATAAATAAACACCATGCTTACCATGCCATCTTTATTTTAAAAATATTTCTATCGACCTTAGCCTATGATTTTCATCAAGATTATGGCATTCCAAGGGCAGTCCCACCAGATTTACCCTGCGCGCAGAGTCTAGTTAAACTACACTCTGCCTTATAGAGACCATATTACAGTTTAGTAGCCCCGCCCCCACGACGGGTACCGGTGACAGTTTGGGTAATAAATCAAACATACGCGTGCTAATTAAATATGCGCGTGCCATTGGTCAATTTTGGGCTTAACAATGACATCAGAAGGAATGACCATATACAAGGGGCGATCCATATATTCTGATAAAAATGCTCTCATTTTGCGATTTTTTCACATATCCATCTCATATTTTCAGAAAATGTAGATTATGTAATTACACATACAATGCTTAAATATTATAGCTACATCTTGAACTAATTAAGAGATAGGGTCAATTAAATTATAACGTATAAAATAGCATAATAACTTGTTATTTTAATTATTCTAAAGCATGCGGAAGTCATACATTTTTTCTAAAAAAAATTTTTGTATTGTTTCTCGTTGTTTGTTGCTAAACAAATGTTTATTTGTGATCACTATAACATCACAACAACTAACAATAGCAATGTATGACAGGATGGGCAAATTGGAATTACGTATACATGTCATGAGACACACCAAATATCAAAATGACAGATCAGATGAGCTTAGTGCGGGTGTTGCAGAGTGTGCACATTAACAGATACAATTAGATTTTATGTACTATCAAGAATAAGTAAGAGGACACTGCCAGAGACATACATGGACTCCTATAGTGTATGGACAAGGTGTCATATCTGCTCTAAGGATCTCTAGGTAGTATTGTAAATATTTGAGGAAGGCTAGTCACTGTTGAATATCCCCGGGGGGTTCACTATATATAAACCTTGACGGGGATCCTCGGCGCATGTGGGGTACCTTTTTCAACGTTTGGTATGGCAATGGACCCATATTTTAGGATTTGGTATGGGAATGCCCGGAAATTTCTGACTTCTGAGATATGGCAATGGTCGGACTCTTGCTCTTCTGGTATGAGAATGGTCGTTGTAGATACGTTAGATGTTAAAAATAAAATATATTTAACTGAATCCGAACATTTTATGTGATGTATCGCTATGAGTAAAAGTGTGAGCCGTGTTATTTTGGTCATTTATGACCCAAACTACAGTATGGTATTTGTCCTTGATTTGAGGTATGGCGATTGGTCCTGTATTTGCACATTTGTATGACATTGATCCTATATTTTATTTACTTTGAATTAAAGTATGGCATTGGTCCCATATTTGGACATTTAGTATGGCCATTGGTCCTACATTTTGACATTTGGTATGGCATTGGTCCCATAATTGGGCATTTGGTATGGCATTGGTCCTATATTTGGACATTTGGTATGGCATTGGTCCTATATTTGGACATTTGGTATGGCCTTTGGGCGTTATTTTGGTTGGTATGGGAACATATTGAAATTTGACAGATTGGTATATGGGAACATATTGATATTTGAGGCTTCAGCCTAGGACCCCCGTCGAGTTTTATATACAGTGAACCCCCCGGGTGAATATCCCAATCTGGTTGCAAGAAGAGCTTGCTGATAGAGAATAACACTACGATAATTTGAGATGCAATTGATGAAAAAAACCTCTTCCACTGTGGAAATAGCAAACAAGGGCAACAGGGGTATGAAGCAGTTCAACGAATAGTTGGCAATGACCTGGATATGCGTTTGATCTGCTTGAAATAGGTACCGAGGAATGATTAAATTAACATATTTATCTATTCTATACGTTATAATTTAACTGACCTGCCTACCCTAAATACAGGTTACCATGGCAACCTTATCTCAAAAATAATTAAAGATATAGCTATAATGTTTGAGCATTGTATGTGTAATTACATGATCTTCAAGTTCTGAAAAAATGAGTGAGATATGTGAAAAAATCACAAAATGAGAGCATTTTTATCAGAAAATATGGATCGCCCCTTGTATAGAACGTCGGTCAAATTTGGCCGACGAATACCGATTGGCACGGTGAGTTCACAGGTTTATTTTAGTTTGAAAGAGTGCAGACGAAGCTCTCTTTTAAGAAGTGAAGTCAAACGAATGCAAAGGGTAACCAGATTAGATGTAAGATATAAAGTAAGCAGCTGAATTCAGCATTTCTGTTTCAGTCATCACAATTACTAGGCGGAGAGTATTTGGGGAGCAATGGCTGAATAATCAAGAGAATACTTTTGAACTATGTAACCCCCCCCCCCCCCCCCCCCCTTGAAGAAAAGTGTCCAAAAGGATACGTAGAGGAATAGTTAGAAGTGTATCTCAGAAATTCAGACTTGTTTGATGAATAACAAGTATTTAAACTTGACAGTCCTTTTCTTCCATAACATTACGCAACACTTCTTTCAAGGGTCATGTTGATCCCCGGGGTGCTGATATAAATTTATCCCGTTCCAGGACTATAGTCCTGTACGGAGCCCATACATTTGCCTGTACGATTACAACTTGGGAGAATTATCTACGCCCCTTCCACTTAAGAAACCTACCTCAATGCATTCTAGAACTCAAAATGTAACTTCTAATATATTGGAACCGCCGATTGTCTGGGTTAGTTGGCAGAACGAGGTCTTTTTGTTTCTTATGGCTCTTTTGGTCGAAGTTCGATTAAGATGGCGGTTATAACGGAATTTCCCGAACTCTTCCGTAATAGCACGAACTTGGTTTTTCGTTACTTCACTTCCATGTAAAATGGATTTGTTTCCGGTAAGAAACATTGTTTAACCATTCGGTATACAGTTAAGAGCATAGGATGTCGACATGGCAGTAAATATTGAAAATATTGTCCGAAATTTTCGAAATTCCCTCTTACCCGAAACAAATCCATTTTACACGGAAGTGACGTAACGAAAAACCAAGTTCGTGCTATTACGGAAGAGTTCGGGAAATTCCGTTATAACCGCCATCTTAATCGAACTTCGACCAAAAGAGCCATAAGAAACAAAAAGACCTCGTTCTGCCAACTAACCCAGACAATCGGCGGTTCCAATATATTAGAAGTTACATTTTGAGTTGTAGAATGCATTGAGGTAGGTTTCTTAAGTGGAAGGGGCGTAGATAATTCTCCCAAGTTGTAATCGTACAGGCAAATGTATTGGCTCCGTACAGGACTATAGTCCTGGAACGGGATAAATATAAATGTGTTACCTTTTTATGGTGACATCCTTGAACGTTGTATACCACTTCGAAAATGTACAATTTTGTACATTCTGAATCTTCATGGTGTCCCTACAATGTCACGTTCGCTTTACGCCATGTGTATACGTATCTGATGTACAGAATTAATGTACAAAATCACTTTTACTTTTAATATTGTGACTTTGTTTTGAATTTCAGCATTTCTGAAATGCAGTCGACGGGATGTCGTAGACTGTCGCAAATTCCTTTTACAAACACATATTTTTCATGAAATCAATCAATTTAAAATATCATGCATATGCATTTCACAATAAATATATATTTCAAGTATTTTCACTGACTCACAATATTATTATAATGGATAATTATTAAAATGCTAATTGACCTAGATTAGGTCACGTAAATCAGTCGTTTGAAACTTTTAGAAAAATTTTAGAATGGATGAAGAAGATGTTATTTTCTCAGTAAGTACACGTGCTTTGCTGTAAAAATCTACTTTAAAATGTGTATATAATACAACCTCTAGTTCTGCCTGAATATATAGGCCCAAATAAAATATTTTCTTGTCAATATAGAGGTTTGAATGAAAATTTTCAAAAATTTCAACAAATGAATGAACAAAATGAATTGAATATAAAATATACAAATAATACATACTGAAAAAATGTACAGTACGGGCTTAGCTATGGTCAGACCATGGTATTTCATTTGAATGAATATTCATTTTGAGAAGACGGGTTCCCTTGCATTGATAAAGTCACAACATGCAGACACAGGAACCCCATATACAGGAACACCAATGGGGCAAGGTGGGAGCTCCATAGACTTAAAATTATAAGCCCCATGAGACTCTGTTAGACTTTGCCGAATGAAGCCTCATCATGTCTCACAGGGCAGAGTCCCACGAAGCCCCATCGAAAATGACCATGTTCATTCTTTCCTTGGGGCATCATGGAACTTTTAATCGTGTAATGACAATGTGTATGATGATTTGTGGATCAAAATGGCTGCAACTTAAACTTAAATTGAATCATTTCTATGGGACTCGATGTAGCAATATTGGAGTCAATGGAGCAAAATCAACAAGGTACATGTGCCATTGGGCTTCATGGGACTAGATGGGACTCAGTAGGACTTTGTCCCAAAGGTTATGTTGGGCTTAATGAAGATGGGCATAGGCAAGAGGGGGATTGTGGGGCTCGTCCGCTGCACCCAAGCAATGAATCACACATTTATAGTATCTATTTGATGAAGCCCGAACTATATTCTGTAATTTAGATGGTTCGTTGAAACTGTTTCCAGCATGCTAACCCCTCCCCTACTTCGCCTCGAACCTCCACTCTTTCATTTAACTTTACGCATGTACCTGTTTATTCTTTTAGGGATCACCTTTAGCAGAATATTTGAGTTCTGAGGGAGTTTCAGATGTAAGCACATCTAGACCAACAAATGAGCCTTTGGGTAGGTATAATCTATGATCATATTATTTTTTATAAACGGATGTTACAGGTACATGCTGCTCACTGGTAGTGATCTGTTGCCATTACTAGAAGCTTTAATGATTCCTTATTCAATTGTTGTAACCAGGACTCCTTAGTAACAGACTAAAAGCTCCACTTGAAACTTGAAAATATGTTTCTGTCCTTTGATCTGTCCTTTGAAAAAAGTTGTGTGCCTATTGTTTCATGTATTAAAAATTTCCTAGTTTCTAGGCTACCATAAAAGATATTTCAAAATCATTAAATATTACAATAAACATTTTAAAACGTATAATAGGAGGATTTCAAAGACAATATTGAATTTTTAGGAAGTGCGGATGAAAAGCATGAAAATGGACAATTGGGTTCTAGATGCCCAACATTGATAGACAAGCTGGTAAGCTTTGGATTATAAGTTATTGTACCATTTAAAACAATAAGATACTCAAATTATTTCTTTGGCGATGGCTAGATTCAGCATTTCTATGAAAGATTTCATATGTGTATATTTATGTTTATAAATTGACGTTTATTTTGAACGAATGTAATGATTTCATACTGGCATGACATCTATATTATAGCTGATTACTTACCTGTGCACTTTTTAAAAATGTACTTACTTATACTCATGTATTGTAAATGTTTCCGTCATGCTCGTTGAGCAAATTTAAAAATCAAAAAAAAATTATTGGAAAAATATATCAGATTTGACAATGAGAATATATATTTAGTTCCTCGAGAATTTGATGCTCTAAGGATTTGCTGTACCCAATATATATGAATTAATGCATGTAATTTATTTCAAATTATATTTTAGAGCTACTGGTTTAGGTGGTCACAGAATGTGGTATTGGGTGATGACAGTAGAAATAAACAGGTCAGTCACTTTTGTAGTCCATATTAGGTATTTAATGTCAATCTACTTATGGAGCTTTACTGTGGTTTCAGTTTTTATACTCATGACTTTAAAGCCCCCGATAAATCGGGCTACGTATACCGCCGTGTTTACATTAGGGGATTAGAAGAGTTTTATTTTTACTTAGGTATGCAAGCAATATCAATATTAGGCCTTCATGCATGTACTCGTGTGTACAATCAGCATGCCCTTCAATATTACATAAGCCAGGCTATTCAAGTACAACATAATGTACACTATTTATGTGTGTACTACATGAGAATACAATTCCCTGGGAAACAAAACACAAATACTTTTTATATGTTCAAAATGAGCCATTTGATTGATGCATACACTTAATACCTTCATATATAAACATCTACAAAGTGTATCTAATAGTTATTTTCAATTACAATGGTGAAACTTGCCTGGTTACGATTATACGGGAAATCAACACGGGATGATAGTTGTACACCTTCCTGGCTTACCTCTGAAGCCTGTACCCTGTAATCTCTTTATATAGGTTAGCGAGAGCGCTGCACATGCGCAGTTTTAAATTTTAGCGCACACTTTAAGAAAACATTTCATGTTTTAACTTTTGTAACTTTTGGTAATTTTTTATTTCAAGTTAGATGTACATCATTTCCTATGTTAAAAATAAGAGAATAGTGAAGCATAATCTTCCAAACCAAACCATAGTATGTGTCATATATTATTTTAAAGCCCATCCAAAGTTACATTGATTTGCCAAGTATCATGGTTCAACTCACAAATGAGAAAAAGTTAAAGGCATTTCAAAATTTAGTGTTTGGTCAAAATTAAAAGTCAGTTTTACACCAAAATAATAGTCGGTGTGTCTCCCTAGGCCATGTTCATGCTTCAAATAGGGATGTGGCTGATTTTGTAATCCTCATAAAACCCTTTTGAGGCATTTTAGAAGAGTTTCCTTGGAGTATCTACACTCAATGTTCTCTTTTTAGAACTCAATATCCATCCTATCTTCGACAATAGCACTCATGTTTTCGGTCACATTCAGGTCAGGGCTGTTTCCAGGATACTGAAATAAACTATATTTTTGGCCAAACACTAAGTTTTGAAATGCCTGTAGCTTTTTACAATTTGTGAGTTGAACGGTGATACTTGGCAGACCAATGTAACTTTTGATAAGCTTTAAAATGATATATGACATTTACAATGGAGACATTGGTATATGTCTGCCTATCGGGGGCCCCATACTTTTGGGACACCCTGTATATAGAGATTGAAAATACAGGACTGAAAAGCAGTCATATCACCTTGAGAGGCATGTTCAGATTAGAGTGTTTAGATATACAATACACTGTAAGTTCTTTAATTTGACGGCTGCGGGTTCGGCGGATTGATGACAACCGCCAAGTTAAATCTCCGTCAATAAATCCACTTGGATTCCCATGCAGGATAAAAACATTAGAAAATGCCCCACTAAAATGTTAATATTGAACTATTTTCGAAGATCTAGATGCACCGCTGGTTTTTTAAAAAAAGAGAGCATTATTTGCATCTTTGTATTTAACTCTCTAATATTTGCATTTTACTGATGGGTAAATCCGCCAAATTAAATAACAGTCAAAATTTCAAAAGTTGCTCAATCCAGTCCAATCCACCAAATTAATAACGCCAAATTAAAGCAATACAGTATACAAGTTTCATTTTATGATGTGTGTTTTGTGTATTGTAGGTGCTTTTGCACACTGATGAGATACTGAAACATTTTCACAACTCTGGTCTCTTACTAGAAGATCTTGGAGATACTGATGACATAACAACAGAAGAAGATTCAAGAACTTCATCCAAGTTTCACTCAAGAAGTATCATGTGAGATATAAAATAAATAATATTAATTGATTGTTTTAATCACATCATTCATTGTCAACTTACTAAAATGTCCCACAGTTCTGACTCTATTTCAGCAAAGTCTTTTTATTTGATTTTAAAGGTTATCTGGCCAAAGATTGAAAAGGCGGATGTCGCTATTTTCAATTCTAATGATTTGGGATTTTTCTGCACCTCAAATCTTAAACCTTTCCTATTTGACCAGATATCTCTTACACTCTCTGTCTCATCTATTATCTTTACATTATCAATTATGAAAAACACAAATTGCCTCAACTTCCAAATAGTATGTTGCCTGACAACACCTTGTATTAAGTAATAAACACTTTGAATATAATTCTTCAATACTTTTTTGAAAAATAGATATCTTTACAGATAATTTGTTATTTTGATTTTAATGATGACCTTATATGGTGTTGTTTTAGGCTTTGGATTGGTTGTTTTGGCTGTATTCTTGGACTAGCACCAACTTTGTTACAAACAAATGGACTGTTTCCTCCCTCACAAACAATTCAACAGATAGGTGGCACTATTTCTGTTACTGTAGCAACAACAACATTCATCCCACTAGGACTACGGTATTGGAAAAATCACAGATTGAAAAGATTGGGAACAGTGGGACTGAGAATCTTGGAGACGTTCTTCATTAATGTAAAGAACTACTGCAAAGTTCTAGAGAGGATTATTAAACTGACTGTTGAACTGCAACTTATCAAACGAGGCTTTTCTTTGTAAGTATCTATCATAAAGTCTACTTCGGTAATTATGTCTGTCACCACCACCACCACAAGTGGTGACATATTATTATTGTCTTCATCTGTTTTGTGTACAGTGGTTGGTGTTTGGCAGTTGGCATCTGTAACAAATGGCTGGTGGTGACATTTTGCGTGCAAATGTTCATATGTAAAAATTCCAAATTTTACAGTTATGCTTTATCCAACCATTAAAGACAGCCAGAAACCCTTCCTCGAAGGACCCTTGTATTCTGTTATGCACACTGATACACAAACATACACTATACAACTTCACATCATACTGCTCATTTTAGTCAAATGAGCCCAAACAGGGATACAAACTCTGGGCCACTGCACATGGGTACATGCTCTACTGCTGAGCTACATGGATGGAAATACATGTACATGTATACATATTATGTCATATTGTTATTGCCTTGTTATTGTTCTTGCAGGCAATCTGTAAAGTCTGGTGCTACCAACCAGGGAGATACTGGTATATTGTTTGATCTCAGACAACATCTGCACAGCAGTGTTAATAGAGTCATCGAGGAACAGCTGTTGTATCTAGGTAAGATGTATTTCTGTATGTGGCATGAGTCATTTCATTCCACTTTGTATATTGGAGTTTTCTTTTGTATACACTGTTCTTCCTCAATGTCTTGTATCTGATTTATTAGGACGAGTGTGTATGGCACATTCTTAACATAGATGGGGGGTTATCATTCTATTTTACATTATACATTTAGTCTATATCTTACTTTGGATCGTTTTGTACCTTATGATTTTGCATGTTTTATACCTTACATCAATACAACATTTTTGTTGGAAAATTACAAAAAAAATGAACTTGTTTCCCATTATTTTCCAGATGAGCTTATGAAAGTTCTTCCAAATAACAAGGATGTTAATACAGTAATTGATACAGACCCACTCATTATGTATATCATGAACAGTGTCAGAGAGGAGTCTTTCAGGATTAACCAAGAGAAAGAGTCTAAAATCACTCTGCAGAGTTTAAAGGTGATTGATTTACTCAGTTTTCTTGATATTATTCAGTGTCCCCACAAGGAATATTTTTATTTTTTTGTCCAAGTTTTAGTGTTACCTCATAAGCTTCTAACTGAGAAACGATTATCCATTTTTCATCCAAATATTTCATCCAATATTTCACGGCTTTTCTCATTGGTTGATTCTAGTCATTTTTAACTGGGTAAAGAGGTTTGGCCCCAGTCGAGGCAAATAGCATATTTTTGAATTGTTTACAAATACTGTCATAACAGTCGTATTATCTGATTTCCAGAAATTGAACAACTGTATGAATCTTGTGTTTTCCGCCACAGCTCAGAAACTTGCCTCGAGTTTCTATAGCAACAGGACAAACACTCCATCTATATGTAAGTTATATTATAACCTATATTATATACAATTTACATGTACATGTATTATGTCAGACGGGACCCCCTTTACTATAGAAGTGAATGAATACCATGCCAAAAGGCAAACTGTACTTCCCTACTAAATTTTGCGGCCATTTTATTGTTAAAGTGTGTCAAATTAAATAGCCACCAACATCCCCGGTAATTTTAGTTCGATGTAAATTATTACCATTAGTGCATTGTAATAATGCAAGTATGCCAAATTAAGTAGCTGCCAAATGTTCAAAACACCAAATCCGCAAAAATAGTAGTGCCAAATTAAGTAGAAGTACAGTAAGTGTCAGAGGATTATTTTGGTGTACCTAGATCCAGATGAGTTAACATTCCTCAACTTGTAGACTTTATTCTATTTCAGTGATATCATTGAATTATCTGCACAAACTGAGTCTGATATGTGACACTCTCCACACACAATTCAAATCCTTAGAAACTGACTACAAAATTGAACTGTACAAGTTTCTCCAACCTAATTTGATGACAGCCAGAAAATCTGAAGTCCAACCCCTACATGGAGTGTGTAGTAGTATTCATGCTTTAGAACTTAGGCTTATGTCATCTTTAACAAAGTAAGTTACATGTATTTAACTTAATTTAAATTATTTTACTTAATCAGTTTCATTGCGTGATTTTAACAAAGGAATTTATCAGAAAAGCCATTATATCACAACAGTTAGGCCTTTCAATGTTAAATATATATGTTTAATGTTCCCTTTCTCCCAAAATCAAGGCAAATTTTCAAACAGAACTCTACATGTACTGGTCTATATATACATCTTTTTGGGGTGCTTTAGATGCCATAACATTACATCTTGCATATAGTCTGAAAATATATACAGTGTACAAATATAGTCTGAAAATATATACAGTGTACAAATATAATCTGAAAATATATACAGTGTACACATACTGTATTATTTCTCAATCGATTATGTGATAGGGTTCGAAATCTCCAGGAAGACTTAGACAATGTGAATACAGCTGAAGACCTTCTTATCCCTATAGAAGACAGTTGTGAGGTTATCAAGGCAGAGTTAGAGTGTTGTGTAGCATTTCACAGCATGTTGGAAGCTGATGTTAACAAGCTGAGCAACACTGATACAGTGGGTGAGTCAAAGTATTTTAACCCTCTGTGGATTTTTATCCACAAAACATTAAGAAGCTGTCTGTCCATCTGTCTGTGTGTGTGGATGATAACTCAAGTACCAATTGTGAATGCCCAGTTTGTGTTGTACGTCACAGATACATTCTGTGCCAAAAGTAGACACTTGTACTCATGTACTTACTGGTTGTTTCTGTCATGAAAAGTCTTAGGTCTGAAATGAGAAGTGACATTATGTTTTTGTTTGCTACTTTCTGGATTTGTTTTGCTTCTGGTTTGTCGCTATGATCAGTATGGGCCATTTTTAAACATCCTCCTAAGCAGGTATCCAGAATCCGTACCTCCTTCCCCCTGCTATAACCAATCTGGAAGCGCCCGATAAAACTGAATCATGTGATCTAATTATGCGCAATGACTTATACATTATTTCTGTCGCAGAGTCGCGATAGCCAATCAGATTGCGAGTTCTCAATCCGGGAAATCCTAACTGCTTATCGCAGGGGATAAAAAGAAAGAATATATTCTGGATTTTGAAGCCCTGTGATTGGAGGATGTTTTTTTAGCAGTATAACATTATGGAGGGTGATTTGTGTTTGTAAGTGTCATTGAAATGATCAAAGCCGATGTGCCTAACACCACTTGCATCTAACTGGGCAGACAAGTTTTTGTGATCAGTGAGAACAATAATCCAAGATGTGGAACGGATCACATTGAAGCTGTAGCATAATGAGAGGTCAAAGATTTACGATTTATAAGATCTAATCTAATGTCTGAACATTGGCTTTATGAAATATTCAGCACAAATGTTTCGTTCAATGAGTTTGATTATCAAAATGATGGATTTTGTCTTTCTGGTTGACCTAAGCTGGAAAAACATCCAACTGAGGTGTTTATTTGTTCCAGATATTTTTTATGTGTGTTCTCAATAAAATATTACATATGTATATGGGTATTGTTATATGACTCGAGTATTTTGTTACATGGCAATCTGCTCATAAAACATGTATTTCATCATTATCCTTTCTCTCAACATTTAATTTTATGGCATTTTTCATTTCATAAATTCATTCATGTTATGCATGTTGAAGGTCATGTTGTACACATGACATTTTACCACATTAAACTATTATTTGTCAGAACAATGACGGTAATAAAAATGTATTATTTTGTTAAAAAAGCAGTAATAAATCCAATGCTTAAAACATCACTGGTCATTCCCTATTCCAGGGGCTGATCTGAAAATTAAATGAAAAAAATTGGGTAAGCCCATATTCTAAAATCTGAATGAATTTCTTGGCATATCTATATGATTTAAAGTTGATAACATAACATTTCGCTTTAGTTCTCATTAAATCTCCTCGTATTAAACCCCAAGGCTCGCCATTTTGTCTACTGAATTGTTTGTTCAGTTGACAATAGGTGCATTCTATAAAATACCACATTATCAATGATCACAATGAATGTAGCCTACGTAGATCTATTCAGAAAGAATTTCCGATATAGCAACACAGTTCTATAATCTACTCGATGACAGAGAGCAGAGATGAGGGTAACAGAGGTGATATTTACATTTATTCTCATCACATTGATGTTGATGGCTACACCAGAAGGAGCGAGACCATGCGAAACACACCCCACTGCGATATGTCGCCGAAATACATATCCAAGATGGCAGTGTCCAAACACGTACAGGTGTAATAGACGAACTGGAGACTGTTGTTGTATGCTTCAGACATGTCAGAACCTCACGGCTCAATGTAATCCTGAATATGACAATGTGACTGGTGCTCCGTATGCATGCAGAGGGAGAGACAGCAAGCGATGTAAAGAAGGATACACATGCATCACTGGGCCTATGAGTCTTTACAGTTTATGCTGTGAGAATTTTATCTGCTATGACAAATCGGGGAACAAACGTCGAAAATACGAAGGAGAATGGACTGAGTCTGATGGTTGTACTGTGTGTACTTGTGAATCTAATAATAAGCCCAAGTGTGATAGCTCAAAATGTAAAACCATGTGTGGTAGGTGCTTTTCATGTATAATAATTAATAATATCAAATGTCATGTTTATTGGTAACATTTTTTTCTTCTAATTGAACATTCAGTATAATAATGTTTTATGTTTTCTTAAAATCAAAAGATTAACACTTAATTTATCGCCAATATTTTTCAACATTCCTTACAACAAGTGTAACTTCTTTTTTCAGGTGAATTTTCTCATTTTTCCCCTTGCCCCAATTCATCATGTGGAAAAAAGGTCCAAATTAGAAAGTGTAGCAACTCAGATAAAGATACAGTATCACAACGTAATTCTGAACTGAACATGGTGGTATGTCACCCCCTACCCCCTGCCAAATGTCCCCAACCAGGGATCACTTTATCTGACAATGAGGGCATAATCATAGGTGGGGTTGAGGTGAAGCCAGAGTTCAATTATCGCTGGATGGTTCATTTTTCTTATGATGGTGCCTTGCTTTGTGGTGGTTCAATTCTCAGTCCACGTCACATTCTAACAGCAGCACATTGTTTTCTCTATGGTTATGGTCTAATGCCAATTTCTCTGATTAAAAGGAACGTCTTAGTCAAAACGGGTAAGCATCAGTTATCTATAACAGAACCTCTTGAACAATCGCGAACAATTAAGAGTGTAACCATTCATGAAAGTTTTGATAAGAACACATTGAACAATGATATTGCTATTGTTACCCTTGATTTACCACTTCAGTTTAATAAGCATACGCATCCAATCAATCTCCCAACTGGTATATTTAATATTAAAACCATTAAGAAATTAAGAAAAGGTTGGTGTGTGGTTATTGGATGGGGAGATACGAATGGTACAGTGAGTAATTCTAAATCTGATGTTCTATTGGGGGTAGCGCTTAATCTTGAAAGGAAGTGTTTCCTTAGATTACAATCAGATAAACAAAAAGTAACTAACAATATGTTCTGTGCTTCTGCTAAAAATCCTAATAAGATGCATGGGCACAAAAGACTGGATTCATGTTTTGGAGATTCTGGGGGACCTTTCATGTGCCGTGAGGGGAAAGAATGGTTTCAGTATGGTATAGTTAGTTGGGGACCTGTTGGAATATGTGGGGACCAAACTGGGGTCTATACCAAGGTATCTAACTATATAGATTGGATCAATAATGCTATCTCAACTCCCGGGGGCTGGGGAGAGTTCAGTGGGTATTCACCATGTTCAGTTTCATGCGGAGGTGGAACCAAGTCCAGGGTGAGAATATGTACAAACCCTGAACCTATTGGCAATGGAGAATGTCCTGACTATAGCTTCAAGACGACTGGTGGTGACTTTGTGCAGGTTGAAGATGAAGAATGTAACACAAAGGCGTGTGGCTGATATGAGAGTATCCAACTGGAAGAATAAATAATATAATGTAAATTATAATTTATTGAAATAAAATTCTCTAGTGCAACTCCAGGTTTGAATTAATAGATTTGTTGTGTTGAGAATTAAATATGGTGTATTAAATTTTTCTACCTTATGTAAAAGGAGGTGATTTCTGAAACACCCTATTCTATAATCATTGTGACATATGATTTCCCCAATTTCTATATTATATACACACGGGCACTAACTGCAAACAAGACCTAAACATACCATGAGCCTTTGAGAATCCATGTTGAGCTGAAAATACTACCAAGCTCGCTAATACATATTGCCCTGTGCCTTAGCCATGATACTGCTAAGCAAGTACACAGTATCATGATGTCTATGGTAATATTGTATATTGTATTTTCTCTATATTTGCTGGATGCCCTACATCTGCAAAATCAAAAAAGAGCCCATGAATTGTATAAGCTACATATAGGTCTAGTTGTCTTGTTTAATCAATCATTGTCAAGGATGAGGTGTTCACTCATAACTTCAGTTTGCATATACTTGTATATGAATTATAATCATTGTTAAGAATGAGATGTTCACTCATAACTTCAGTTTGCATATACTTGTATATAATCATTGTTAAGAATGAGATGTTCACTCATAACTTCAGTTTGCATATACTTGTATATGAATTATAATCATTGTTAAGGGTGAGATATTCACTCATAACTTCAGTTTGCATATACTTGTATATGAATTATAATCATTGTTAAGGGTGAGATGTTCACTCATAACTTCAGTTTGTATATACATGTATATGAATTATAATCATTGTTAAGGGTGAGATATTCACTCATAACTTCAGTTTGCATATACTTGTATATGAATTATAATCATTGTTAAGGGTGAGATATTCACTCATAACTTCAGTTTGCATATACTTGTATATGAATTATAATCATTGTTAAGGGTGAGATATTCACTCATAACTTCAGTTTGCATATACTTGTATATGAATTATAATCATTGTTAAGGATGAGATGTTTACTCATAAATTCAGTTTGTATATACATGTATGTACTTGTAAAGTTCATATTTGTTAGGCTGCAGTGATATTGTTTGTTGCTGTTGGTTACGTACGTGATCAGAAGTTAGTTTTGAATGTTGATCATATAAGTCAGATTGGATTACCGTCAATTTCACGATGGCAAAAGCCCCTCTAAAAAATTAGACCCCTGGCCCTGATAAAGAATATGATATACATGTATGAATGTCGAGCAGAATATCGCATATTTAAAGCTGTTGTGTTTATCAAGTTTATAATTTTATTGTCCATTTAACAATTTCTGTGATGATATAACTAGTTTAATGTGCTACTCTGCTACCTGAACTGATATAGTAACAGCTTTTCCATCACAAGTTATTAGATATTTAAAAGCATTTCCATGAAGCTATCATTAGATATGGATTTGGTTTAAAATATGTATTTTGGACAAAAAGCAAGTTCTGTTTATTCAATATTTGAATAGTTTCAAATGTTACAAATCATAAACCTGCAAAGAATGAAGATTTACATTCCATAGAATCCATACACATAGAAATGCACCTTTTTAATTGTGTTATAATATAAATGGTACATATGTTTGATTTTGAAATTCATGCATTGTGTAATTGTACAGATAACATCCAACCTGACGATCCACTCACCATACCAACCCCTGGAGTTCCTACCAAAGTGACTCTATTACCAGCAGAGGCTCCTCTTGAAGTAGACCAGGTGTGGGTAGGTTACACTGATGATGTCATAGAACCAGGCGATGGTAACCATGGGGATGGCCTTATGCTGCTAAGTGAAGAAGAGAGGGTGAGATTTTACGATAAAATCATTCTTGAGTGTCATAACTTTTTCATATTATGATTTGAAGTGAAATTTCATAAAGTTCATTGAACAGTGGATGAAGATAACATAAGGGCAGGTTATCGTCCCCTTTCTCAATTTAATTAAGGACAATTCTCGATTTTAGTTGACTTCTTCAGGAATTCTTTTAGCAATGCCCTGTACCCCTTTAAGAGAGCCCGCAAGGCTTCTTTGTTCAGCAAATAGCTCAATCAAAGTTGACTACTGGATTTGATAGCCCTTCAATCTATGAACTTACTCTCACCATAAGGTCATGATACAATTGACAGAAATTTTACTTTGTATTTCAGATTGCAAGGAAACGTGAGAAGGAAACTGCAAAGTACATGTTATCTGAACTTAGATCTGTCATAGTGCCTCGGGCAGCAGAGATGAACAAACGTGAATCTAAAGCCTTGAAGCTAAAAAACTTAACCAAAGATGGCACTGACAACAGTGTCACAAATATTGAAGATCTTAACAACCTGTTGACAACAATTAATTACAAACCGAAATGTGCCAAAGATGAAACAAATGGTGTTGATGATGGTGAGGCTACATCACCAGATGGTGCTGACATATATGATAAAGAAAATAATGGTGCAATAGTGAGGGATGAAAGGACATCTCAAAGTGCAATAACTGAATCTCCAGACACTTCTATTCAAACTCATTCAAAGATGGCAGCACCATCATTTGAAACTGGTACGGAGAAGCCAACTTCAAAATTTGAGGAGCAGAATCATGAAATTAGCAATACAAAAAACACTGATTTTAAATCCCATGTAAATACCTATGTGGATCAGAACACTGGTGAATCAGATGAAGAAGATTTGAATTCAAGAACAAATAATCAAGCTCACTTTGAAGATATATTATCGCAGGGATGTTTTTCATTCACTGCAAATATTGCAAAGGCGGCCGCCATGAGATCACAAGTTATGAATATGACGGAGGAGACATTCGGCAGTGACAGTTCTGACAGTGAGCAATAAGGAATAATACTACAGTACAGCAATATGCTCTACAGGATCGTAATCATTACAATAACTCTGTTAACACTGGCAATTTAAAAAATGTCAGGTGAATTTTAATACAACCAGCTTATCACAATTTGTACCATTTAGGAAAATCATCCGACTGTCATTCAGTTTTGACTTGAAATCCTTAATGAATGCAAAGTATCGTAATTTTTAAATATTCTGAAATCAAAAGTGCCATTTTGGTAATTGAAGGTCATCAAAGGTCAGATCTTTATTATCCCAATGAACGAAGTTCGGTAGGGATATAGTGAAGCCCTCCGTCCGTCCGTCAGTCCGTCCGTCCATCCGTCCGGAAGATAACTCAAATACTAGTAGACGGATTTTCTTCATATTTAGTGGAAAGATGTATAGTGGTGAATAGTTTTACGCAAAAAAAAAATTTTCAAGATGGTCGCCGCTTTAAAAATGACGGGACTTTTTTGCAAAAATCATAAATTTTTCATTCTAAACCAAAGTAATATATATTATTGTTTGAAATTTTGGTAGTATATTCACAACATTTATCTTTTTCACATATATTCCGTGTTTTTCATCCTGACCCCCAGGGGCTGTGTATGGGGGGTCAGGAAAACAGAAATATTTGCTAATTTTTAGATCTTTCTGAAGTATAGCTTTATTATACTCAAATGAAAGGCAATAAAGAGTAGATTGCAAATATTTATCTTTTTTCTGATTCGAGCCTCGTAAAATTGAAAATGGCCGTCTAATGTACGATTTCGCAATAATTTTTCGATCCCTTCAAAGTATGGCTATATTATACTCAAATTGAAGGAATTTTGGAGTAGATCACAATTATGGTATTATTTTTCAGATTTGTACCTCAGAAAATTCAAAATGGCTGCTTTGCAGGAATTCGCAATTCTAAAATCTAATTTTTTCAATTTTAACCAAAGTAGTGAGTATAATTGATTGGAATTCGGTAATTGATATTTTGTTCATTGGGATTTGCTACTCCGCGGAGTTGCCGTTATCTAGTTTAGCATTCTTTCAGATTCAGATTTGAACTTTTGAAAACTTGTAGATGATTTTGAAAAAAAATTGCTTAATTTGAAGCAAGTTGAAAAAATACATTTTTTAACCTTTTTGACCTTGAAAATGTCATTGAAGGTCAAATCTTAATCCTAGAGTCAGATTTGAACTTCTGAAAATTTGTAGATGATTTTGAAAGAAATTGGAAGTCAGTGCAGTCTAAACAGTATTTGTGAAGTTATTGGAAGTTGTAAGAAATTGTTACAGACGCCAATCGCCAACCGCCATCACAAAAATGGAGACCATTACAATATGTCAAAGTGCACATATGAAATGTCAAAATATATTTTGATAATGTATGAAAAACCAAATAAAATGGCATTAATAATTTTGAATATTCATTTTGACATGTTGAATAAATATTGTTTAAAAAGGTTAAAAGGCACTTATTTAGTTGTAGTTTAATTAGGTCGTCAAAGTATTAGCACTAAACATTAGCATTTAATTAACTGGATTAAAGTTGATTTAGGTACAGGCATTTTCAGATCAGAGTTAATGATAGTGTGACATTCGGATTTTGTATTTTTTATAACCCTGTTATGGAGGGCTAAATATTTCATTTTACAGTTTTCTATAGGCTAATCAAACCCTGCTGGGAGCTTAACTTTCATTCACACTTCACATGTTTTCTTCAGTATTAGCCTCAACTTTCAAACAGCCAGGACCTGGTAAGAATATTTCATCATTTTATCCACTTTTTGTCCCCTTTTGAATATTTCAACATTATATTTGTCATTTCTACTTTATTCCACATAACTTTAGCTTCAACCTAGTGTAAATACTATTTTTGTATTTTGAATACTTTTTGAGATATTTACTTGAGTATTTCTATTTGCACCGTCATGACAGTTTTGGCATTTGTGCATAGAATTCATAAAGTTACATTCTTTGTCAATAAACAGATAGTATCCCTACATTGTTATTTGTGACAACTATTTGGTAATATGACTTATCTTGCCATACTTATTTTATAGCCACGGGTCTACCAGTGGGCTTTCTAGTGCTAATACTCACCACCCTGTTGAGATATATTTAGGTACTTTTATATTTTTATTATTGTAAACCTTCACGGTGATGTTCTATTAAATCCATTTAATTTCATTATATTTGATATGGTAACTATAATCTATAAAGTGTATCAAGCACTGTGTTAGGGTTTATTTTGGAAACATAACAAGGGCCCTTTTTAATTCCACAGCCCTCTCACTAACTGGTTTTATCGTAAAACTGTAGATTATTACACTGTATTGAATGCCTTATGTATATGGTGTACGTGTACCTTAATATATTTCTTTACATTTTAGGGTCAAGTGTGGGTGCCCTAGCGGGTGGCCTGGTCATTTAGAGTCCATTTCACTGCTTCAGTTCGTCAGTAGAACGGCAAAAATAAGAAATTGGGAGACCATTGTGCAATAATATATGGAAAAGTATATTCATAATGTACATGAATGACATTTGTATATTTCAGATTTTTTAGTTTTTTGTGCAATAAGCCTGTGCCGTCTTGTAATTTGAAGAATTTCAGCCATGTTAATCTTATTGAAAATAACATGGCAGAGAAACATCCAAATATAAGAGGCCACACACTTTATAAGCCAAACTAGAAGCAATCCAAGATATACAAATGTCATTCATGTACATTATGAATATACTTTTCCATATATTATTGTACAATGGTCTCCCAATTTCTTATTTTTGCCGTTCTACTGACGAACTGAAGCAGTGAAATGGACTCTAGGCAGATAGATTCTGGTCATTTAGGCAGATAGATTCTGGTCATTTAGGCAGATAGATTTTGGTCATTTAGGCAGATAGATTTTGGTCATTTAGACAGATAGATTTTAAGCTCTATATTCATTTTAAGCTAGATAGTATTCACTTTAAGTTAGCTATTCACTTTAAGTTAGCTATTCACTTTAAGCTAACTATTCACTTTAAGCTAGCTATTCACTTTAAGCTAGATTGTCACTTTAAACCAGATATTTTATTCCATTTGCATATATTTTGAAATAAATCAGTGTTTTATAGTTTTACATCATTTTTCGTGTTCCCATGTGTTGTCCCTCGCCCCATGGTTACACTGGTACTGCGGGTGTTACAATACACTGATGTTACATTGATATTTCACTGGTTTTTGAATACTGACACGTAATATAGAAATTCATTTCCCAATTGCTAGGCTATTGTTAGGCTACTGTTTTATGGATAGGTAGATATTTTTTTTATGACCAGGCCACATAAGCTAATACTGATGGAAGTCGGGTAAACCAAGTAAGTGGTACGGATAAAGACATATGGAAAAGCGTCAAAGATCAACACAACTTGAGATTGAACTATTTATGATTGGCATAAAACTGCAATTTTTCACATAGACATTGGCAATATTCCATGCTGCATTATTTTGCAAGGGAGTCACATAAACATTGAATTGCAGTCCTATATAATAATCTCACATCACCTGAATGAACATTGTTTGAATGGCAACAGTTGAATTTTGCCTAGCTAATTAACATTGATGAATGAACATTGCTTGAATAGCTACATTTGAATCAGCTGATTATACTTCATGGACTTTGATAAAAGTTTGGACTGTGAAGCCATGCATAAAACTGAGCAACATAATTTCTAGCAAGGTCAATGAGGACACTAGTAGTATTTGGTGTGAGTAAATAAAAGTCCAGCTTGCCAAATAGTATCCAGGACATTGGTTTCTGAATATACATGTTGACTTTTTATTAATTACTTTTTGTGTATTCCATTTAACACACAACTTACCAGTCATTATCTATTGTCTACATTTCAAGTGTGTATATCTTGATATTTGGTGCATAAAAGTGTCCAATTTAAGTTTGACAACTTTACATCAGTATGTGGTACCTCCACTTAACCTTGTGTTCTATATAGTAGCCCAGACACAAGTTATGTTCAAACGTAACAATTTTAATTAAAATATCATAGTGCCCTTGACATTTATATTGTCTGAATTTTTATTGGTGTATTAATAGTAGACTGGACATAGTGTAGTGCATGTCCTAGTACTACAAGTTTATAAGGTCATATTAGACTAGTACCCCGGATAATTATACATATTCTCAACAGGGTGTATTTTATTGGTGATATATTTTAAACATTTTCGTGTAATTTTCCGCAAGTTTTGTACATACAACGCGAAATCAGAGTATTTTATCATATCGCTGCGTGCGCGTTTTCATTTTATATCAAAAACAATGGCTGAAAAAGACGTGCCGCCACTTGAATCACCGGATGAAAAATTTGTCTTGGGACAGGAGACTAACCCAGGGGATGTCAAACCAAAGGATCTCAGGAAAGCGATGATTGATGACTTAGCCAAGGAACTAGAGGATGAAGAAAAAGTTGAAGTACAAGAAAAGCTGAGAATGATTAAACTTGAACGGGAACTTACATCGCTGCAGAAAAAATATAACATGAATCCTGACACAACAGTTCCTAATACCAGGACTAAGGAACATCAGGAAAGAAGTCAGGTTAACTCAACTGAAACGAAACTTGTTTACAACAAACCTAAACTTCAGAAGTTCTTTGGAAAGACTGACGAAGATGTCTACGACTGGTGTGAAGATGCAAAAATAGCGACAAAGAGTATCAACAAGAATGATGAAAAGATTGACTATATAATCTACCACTTAGGACCAAATCCACGGCGTGAAATAAGATATTTATCAAACAACCCATCACCTGAGGATATCTACAGAACATTGAAGAGAGTGTTTGGTATCGTAGAATCACCACACAAATCAATGACTGAGTTCTACACGAGGAAACAAAACCACAATGAAACCATATCACAGTATACACAGTCGTTAATGAAGCTGATGGACATCGTAAAACAAAGCCATGAACACCTAGAAGGAGATAAATTACTTAAGGAACAACTGATAGTAGGAGCCTATGAGCCTAAACTGAGATGGGAACTCCAGAGAATGTCAGATTTGAACAATAACATCACATTTCACCAACTGAGAGAAATTGCTTTCAAATTTGAGTTGAATGAAAATGAGCAGCGGAAAGTTTCTTCAAGTGCAGTTAGCTCAAGAGACAATGACTCATCACTACAAATTACACTACAAAAGATTTTGGATAAACAGGAAAAGATCGAGAAGGAGATCAACCATCTTAAGCGAAATAACAATGACAACTCTGA